GAACTTTAAAAAAAATTCTTTAGTGTTGAGAGTTTTACAAATATAAACAACCCCCCTTCTTCCCCTATGCTCCCCACCACCCAGTATCCCTACCCCCACCCCAGGCCTTCACCACCCTATTGTCTGTGTTCATGGGCAATGCATATATGCATATACATTTTCTTCTTGCCCTTTCACCCCACCCCCCTTCCATGTGAGATTCATCAGTCTGTCCCATGTTTCCATGCCTCTGGTTTTATTTTATTCATCAGCTTATTGTGTTCATTAGATTCCACATGTAAGTGAGATCATCTGTATATATAAAAGCCCAGTGATCAGAATGGCAGAATGACAGGGATGACTGGTCGCTATGACGCGCACTGCGGGCCAAAGGGCCAGATCTGGGAACCAATTGACCCCCCCAAAACCTTCCATGGCCCCTCCCCCCAGCCAGCCCCACCCCCAATAAGCCCCCTCACCCCCTGTTTGGGGACGAGGCCGGTGGCCAACCACCCGCAGCTCCTCCCCCCCACCAGCCAACATCCCACAGCCCCTTCCCCGAGCCGGCCAAACTCCCTCAATCCCTCCCCCCTGATGGCCGGCCCCCCAATAGGCCTCGATGTCTGGACAGGCAGAGGGACCCCACTCATGCATGAATTTGTGCACCAGGCCTCTAGTATACATATATTTGTCTTTCTTTGACTGGCTTATTTCACTTATAATCTCCAGGTCCCTCCATGCTGTCTCAAAGGGTAATAGATTCTTCTTTTTTTTACAGCTGCATATTACTCCATTGTATAAATTTACCACCATTTTTTATCCATTTGTCTACTGGTGGGCACTGGAGCTGTTTCTAGGTCTTAGCTATTGTACTAGTAAATTGTGCTGCTATGAACATAGGGGTGCATATATTCTTTCTGATTGGTGTTTCAGGATTCTTAGAATATATTCCTAGAAGTGGAATCACTGGGTCAAATTGCAGTTTCATTTTTAATTTTTTGAGGAAAATCCACACTGTTTTCCATAATGGCTGCACCAGTCTGAATTCCCACCAGCAGTGTACTAGATTTTTCTCCACATCCTTGCCAGCACTTGTGTGTTAGGTGGTAACTCATTGTCATCTTAATTTGCATCACTCTGATAATTAGTGATGTTGAGCAATTTTTTCATATGTCTCTAGACCATTTGTATGTTACCTTTGGTCCTCTGACCATTTTTTAATGGATTGTTTGTCTTCCTTTTGTTGAGTTGTATGAGTTCTTTATGTATTTCAAAAATTAACCCCTTATCAGATAACCTTTTTTTTTTTTTAAATCCTCACCTGAGGATATGGAGAGAGAGAGAGAGAGAGAGAGAGAGAGAGAGAGAGAGAGAGAGAGATGAGAGAAACATCAATCAGTTGCCTCCCCTAGGCACTAGACTAGGGATTGAATCCACAACCTAGGTATGTGCCCTGACTGAGAATTGAACCTGAAACCTTTTGGTGTATGGGGCAATGCTCCAACCAACTGAACCACCTAGCCAGGGCAGAAGGGACAACTTTAAAAGTAATCCTAGCTTCATACTCCTAGAGCAGTCATCTGAGACCTTTTTTTGTGACTTCATTGCAACTTTGACTTCTAACCAATTCTGCTTTCTTTGGAAGGAAATATATGTCTCAGAGTCTTTTCCTGGGGAACTTCACCTAAAACAATAAGAACATTTTATTTCTGCCTACCTATATAAGTTCATAAATTCTATTGACTTACTTCTATTTAATAATTTATTTAATGAACAATCATTCCCAGATTTTTCTCTGGCCACATAAAATAGGTTAGTGTGAATGTTCATTGTTTGACTTACATTTAAGTGTTCATTACAAAGCCATCAAAGATTGTAACTCTTTAAGGGCAGACTTCATACATACTATAAACCCAATCTGTATGGAAGATGGGACAATGATACTACCAAATAGACAAGAATAACACAATGTGTTTGTTTTGGTTTTGATGATTGAAATCATTATTATGAATCACTACTCTGGTGCCTTGTCTATAAGTTTCTATTTTGTAGAATTTACAGTTTTATTCATAGGATTAATTATTTTACTAAGGCTGTTTTTCTGCCAATATAGGAAATAATCCTATATTATTTTTAATATTATTTTTTTTAAATGGAAAACATAACTGTGTTTTAGAGTTTTGAGAGAAAAAGATCCCCATTTATGTTCCAAACAGAAGAACACAAGTCCAATCACTATAATACTTAGCGGCTCAGTAAGGCACAGTTTGGGGATGTGGTGCTGGTAGTGGGGTATGTTTTGCAATGTTTTGTAGGTGATCCTGATAGCCACTTCCTCTTCTGCCTTGTGCGAAATTCAAACTAAAGAAAATGGCCTAAAGCATTTGCTCTGATAATATAAAATACTGTTAGCAGGACTTACATATGATATAAATCAATTTTCAAATTCTTATAAAGCAACTAGTCAGTGTGGTATAAGTAGGAGATGATGAGATTAAAATCATGTTAACAATTTTTATTGGTTAGGTACCATTTTACCGTTTGCTTTTTAATTATGTAAATATATAACTATTTAAAAATAGTCTTCTTTTAGAAATACAGATTTAATCACTAGTAATTGTCTTCCAAGGCAATATATGTAGATTAAAAGAAGATTAAAAAATTTGGTTTGAGTATAATTTATTTTAATGTATTACTTTTAAAATATCCCCAAACAACTATAAAGGGATCAAAATAAGCCTATTATGAACCATAAACTTATCAGCTGCTTCATGTAAAATATGTATAGAAAAAGCATATTCCTTGCGTTGCTGATACTGCAGTGCATCATTGAGTGAACACTGACTTCTGAATGCTTCATGTTCTTTGGTAATGAATTATTCAGAAGTTCCATACCAGAACTCTGCTAAGGTGCTAAGTTCATGTCAATGAGTTGTTTGTGATTCATACAGATGTAGTGAACAAATACCTAAGCTTTTTCTTTACATATAAGTCCAACATTTTGTATAGAATAACTGCCATCAGCACAAAAATAGATAACTTGAAAAGCAACTGCTCTGATAAAATGTATTTCTTTTTTTAAAAAAAAAGTATCTATTTTTTAAGGACACAGCTGGGAAAAATTTCAGAGTAACTTGCTGTGCAAGTTATGCTTGCAAATCTCATTAACAGTAATGGAATTTTGAATGTAACAACTAGCACATTGATTTGAACATTTTCCCAACATGTACAATTTATTTTTAGAAGAGCATTTTTTTTTCAGAGCACTAAGAGTTCAGAAAACTTGTATTTCTAGCAAGTCTGGCATTACATATGGATGATTCTTTTATAAAAATTTATAGTAATAAAAGGGTAATATGCTAATTAGACCAGTTGACCAGACATCTTCTGGTTGTCTAGTCCTCCTTCCAGACAAAACCACAGTGGTAGGGGCTGAGACAGAAGCGGTTAGGGGTGATCAGGCAGGCAGGCAGAGGAGGCTAGGGGAGATAAGGCCAGCAGGTGAGCAGTTAGGAGCCAGTGGTCCCTGATTGTGAAAGGAACATCCTCCAAGGGGTCCCAGATTGGAGAGGGTGCAGGCTGGGCTGAGGGACCACCCCTCGTGCAAGAATTTTGTGCACTAGGCCTCTAGTAAAATTATAAAACACTCAAATAGATACCACAAAAGGTGTTTCTAATATTTAATGGAACAGTAAAACACTAACCAAAGTAATTTTGGGGTCTCTTTCTCATAAGATTATGTATTAAGTTTTAAGTTTATGTATTTACTATCTGCATTTATTCACAATAAAAATGTTATCCTCATAAAAATATTTATGATACCATTTGGAGAAATTTCTTGGAAAAAAAGAGTTTGTAGTTATGTTGGTCAAAAACTAGCAAACAGACATCAAAGTAGAGAGAGGATCTGACTTATTATGCCCATGGTACTTAGTATGGTAGAGACTACTAATCATTTGCTAATACCAATCTCCCTACAATAATTTTATCTAAGTATGTGACTTCCAGAATTAAGACTATATTTCTAGATTATCTTGCAGCTAGGCATAGCCATATTACTAAATTATGGCCACTAAAATATAAGCAGAAGTGTTATGTGGCAACTTATGAAGAAACAGGATGTACAGTAAACTTCTCCTCTTTTCTACTTATCCCTTCCCCAGTGACACACTTAAACAAAAGATAATGGTGTCTACAATATTGAGAGAGATAAAAGCTAGAGAACAGTATTTTTAAGTGACCAGACATGAGTGATTTTGATTGCTTATAAAACAGCATGAATTATTTTATTGCATTGTGTGGCACTGTATTATATTGTATTTCATCATGAGTAAATGCATTTTAATATTGTGCATATTTTACTTTCCTCCTTGAATTTTAAATACTGTAACTCTATGTATTTCAGGAAAATATGGACAATGCAGAAGAGAGCTAGGCAGAAATGAACAACCTTAACAAAAGAATTAAAATAATGTCCTTTATAATCAGGTGCAATTTTCTAACAACATATTTTTTAACTTTTTAAAAAACAAAATCAGCCTCTGTTTGTGTCCCAACTCAAACAATGGATGAGAATCTGTACGAATAGTGAATAAGAGTCTGTCCTTAATAATAGCCTGAGCTATATGTTTAAATAATGTTCTTATTTTATATTATCAAAGTGGGCATTACTAGGTTTGAGTATACCATATGTGAATAAGTTGTTTTATGTTTTGTGTTCCAGCTCCACTCCAACTCCTCTCATGCTCAGGGTTATGCAGTAAAATGATTTTTTTTTTCTTTTTTTTTTTTTTTTTTAAATTAAATTACAGGAAATAACTTTAAAATGCAACAGAGAACAAAGTCACAATAAACATTCCCATTGGATTCCCTTGGGGGTGAGATTGCAGTGCTCAAGGAAGATAAATATCACAAATATATCAAAAACTTCAAATAGTTTATGCATTCACACACCGACGTGAGCCACAAACATTCCTTCACAGGGACTGTACTTATTAGCCTACCACAGAACCAGATTTTGCCATAAACTACAAAACTTTTAATACAAAATTGTTATTTATATATTTATATTTCATATACATGCCCTATCTGTGAGTTTAGAAAATAAAAGCTACACACTGTACAGACACTCTTAACTCATAGCTGTAGGCAACATTTTTGGATGGAATTCCTCCCCCAATAAAATTAATGGCATATTTTATGTACATGAAGGCTAAACTGCATGACAGTTCAGATTCCCAGATATGCATCTCCTTTTAGGGCAGGTTTATAAATTTCAAAAGGCAAGACAAATGTACACCTCAGAATCACTTTCTTAGCTACAAGAGTTGTCATGTAATTTCTGTGAAGTTTCTGATACATGCATTTATGTAATACTGGTATTGAAGGCAGTAAAGCAATATATACTTTTAATGTAGTGGCTCAATAAAGGCTTCATTGTCATTCCAATCTGATTCTTTATACAGTGATTCATAGCTTCTCTAAAAATTAAAATTCAATGGGACACTGTTAGAGAGACTCTAAATAGATTTCTTAAAATATTTCCCTGAAATATCCTTTTACATAAAACAAATTTCACTAACATTAGCTTAAGTAAAAAGGAAAGGAAAGATTTAAAAACATGGCACAAATGTGCATGATAAACTAATGCTCCTCAGCCAATTTCCATGCCTTAGGAGCCATGAACAGAATGCTTAAAACCAACCAACAATTTTCACACTCTGTGGCAGCCATCTGTGAAGCCAGTTGTACTAAACTACTTCTACAGTTGATTGTAAACTTTGGTTTATTTGTATTTGAGTTCTCATTGTACAGCAAGCATGAACAAGAGGGAGAGTGGAGTCCATGAGGAGATGAACTGTCAGTCTGTCTTTAACCGGGCATGATGAGACACCTGGTCAGTCAGGCCTGCTTTGATAGAGTTTGTTACAGACTGCCTTATGTTTTCCTCCATCAAATTATCACCCAGGGGCTTCAATACCTGTTCCCACAGTGTTTCAGCAAGCTGATCAATCATTGTTCCAATTTCTCTGAACTCCCCAGAGTATTTAACATATGCCCAAGTACAAAGAGATGTCAGTGCCAAACCCATGACCAGGTTACACAAGACGGCTATAGAGTTTAGACCGATGAAGCCAGTCAGTCCTGAGATTATATACATAGCAAACATGACTGCAAACAGTGTGGCAGGTGTACGAGCAGCATAGAAGATATTTTTGCCATCGTTGTGCTTTATGAAATTTGCATAGGTTTCTTCGATTTCAGCTTCAAGCTGGTCCTGATAACGACGGCAGAAATCATCTCCACCCATTTTTTTAATTGAACGAAACTGTTTAATTGCCACTTCCTTGAGATCCAGATGTTTTCGTTCCAGATCTGAAGGTGCAATGTAAGGCTTGTCTCCACCACATACCTGTTCCATATTTCTGCAATAAATCTCTCTTGCTCCTGCTACTGCAGCAAGATTATTAGCTTCAGCTGTTGCCTGAAGCATGGACTTTGGATGTGGAAGTTCCTCTCCTTGATAAATTTTAATGTAAGCCTTAAAATATTCTACAAGATCCCTGCAAGTGACTTTAGATCCACTTATCTCTTTTTCCACCAAATTCTCAGGGGCAAGCAGCAATGGCACCAGATTTCGAAGCTCTCGTTTAAAGTCTTCATCAATGTCTTTCAATCTCCCATCAAAACTAGGATTAGTTGCAACTTTAAGACCAGGATGTGGTAAAAGGAAGCAACCAAGATTTGAGAAACAATTGTGAATGTGCTTCCTTACATTCTGTAGCTCTTCATGCTGATTTTGCTTTACCTGCAATCTCTTTTCAAGGAATTGTTTTCCACCTTCCAAACCATATGAATGTTCATAAGGGTAACTCCAATCTCGAATCAAAAACATTAATGTCTGAAATGGTTTCTGGTAGATTTCTTCCATTGCAAGCCTGCCATACTCTGTAAATAATTGCAAGTGCTGAAGATCATCTTCTTGAATATTCTGAGACAAATTATATACCTGGACTGAGCTAGTCATAGTGCTCAGAGCAAACACTGTTGCACAGTCTTTGATTGTTGACTGGCTATCGAAGGCACCCTGAGTATCCATTAGCAGCACAGCCACTTTTGTTCCATCAGGTCTGTCAATCACAAACACTTCATTCCAGACTTGTATGCCTGTTGTTTCTCTTTCACAACCACCTCGCCATGTAAAGCCAGTCAATGGTTCGTTGTTTCCACCAATCCAACTTTGATGATCCTTGTTATACATATATCTAAGCATGAAGTCCAGTAGAAATGATTTCCCTTTACGAAAAGCTCCTGCCACGGATACTACCACTATGTTAAGATCACGAATGTGCTCCTGTAGCAATATCTGCTCCAAAGCTGCTTCATCAAGCTCAAAGTTATGGTCATCTTCATGAGCAAGAACAATCTGTACTGGACATGGTTTCTTCATAACCTCATCAGAGTTTACTAGGTTCTCATCTTCATAATCCTCACCTAGCGAGGTCGTGGACGAGACGTGGTTAACCTCGGTGCCGGGGTCGCTGGTCCGCCGTCGGCGCCGCAGCTCCAGGTGCGGCTGCTGCCTCCGCGCCACCTCCTCCCCCTCCGCCATCTTGTACCGATTTAAAATTAACTCCCCACTCAAAAATGATTTTTATATTATTTCTCTTTTTTGCAAAATAAAGAATCATGTGGGCAAATTTTTCAACAGTCGAGAAAGATCACTGAGACTTTTAGTGCAGAGAAAAAAATAAAATAAAATAAAATGAGGAATTCATGTGAGATTGACAAACTCAAGTGAAATTGGAAATATAGCCAAAGAGATTATTCCTAGATGAGATTACTGCTACAATAAAAATCTCACTTGTACTTAGTAATGTTTGTTTTTAAATTTAATGGATTATATACTTAAACTTCTGTTTAAAATAATACCAAACTAAACATTGAACCATCAGAAACATGCAGAGATGAGACAGTCTGCTGGAAATAGAAAACAAGGTGTTTATAAATTTGCCTGTTTAAGAAGGAAACATTTAATATTTTAAAGTATCTTAAAGTCCAGATAATGGTCAAAGCATCTTTTACTAATCATGATGAACATCTAAATATTTTATGAACAAACATGTTCTAAATGGTGGGGGGCAGAGATGCTAGTCATGTTTCTGTTTAAATTTATAATTACCACCAACAAATACTTTGCGTCTCCTCTGAGCATGGCAGTACGGTAATAATGATCAGCTCACTGACCGCCATCTAGATGTCCAATGCTAAATTAAGTTTCTCTGATTTATGTTCATTGCTTTATTTGTGCCTTGGCTCATCTGTTCTTACAAGCTGCTCTGTTGTGCTCCTACCAGCAAATTATGTGACAGTACCAACCTGGTGCTAATTTACTGAACTCTGTGCTACCAACAAAACACTTCTTAGTTTATATATATCCCTTCCCATTATTATTTTTTTCCTACCTCTCTTTGTCTCTAAGTGAACACTGCCAAGTCAATAATATATCTGGAGTAATTAAAAAACAAATAAAGCAACTCATCTTTACACTTTTCCATCTGTTGGTCTATGTTAGTTTACATCCTTTCCATACCCTTGTGAAATCTATAAAATTTCCACTTAGTTACTAAATTCAGTTGGCCTAGATCCTCTAGTTCCTAGAAAACCTTTAAAAAATATAAATTTGAATAAGTCACTTATTAATTAATGACTCTTCAATGGATCATAAAAATTAAATTTAAAAATCCTCTTTTAGTATCTAAATCACCTCAGCTACTAATCTCATTTCCCATTCTCAGTACCATACAATTATTCCATAAGAAAACTTGAAGTCCCCTGGATTTACAACACTATGTCCCTCCCCAATGCATTTGTGTGCACTAGCCCTTTCTTTCGGAATATGGCTCAACTTCTATCAAGCCTTTGTCACTCCTACTCAAGCCCTTAATCCAGTTTATGAAAATGTCTCTACTTATGTACCTATAGCATCCAGTGATTATAAATACCTAAACTTTATCATACTTTCTTTAAATTATTCATTTACTTATCTCTCTCCCTGACCAGATTATGCTTCATGAAACCAGGATCAAGTTCTTTGTACCTTTTCAATAACAAATTCCTGAAATATTTGAACCATGTTTATTTATTCCTATAACTCAAGAACTTAACACAATTTGCTTTTCATGTAGTAGGTGCTCAATAAAGTTATTTGAATGTATGAATAAATAGAAGGATAAGCAAATATGCATTTGTAAGGCAAACTCTTAACTTTAGTCCCTTTCTTATAATCTTCCAAGATATTACAAATGTTAATTTTTATAATTGTTGTAATATTTAAGTTCAAGTACATGGTAAATTTTATTAGTGCAAACTTTCCTTTGTTTAATATTAATATTTTATGAGGAGATAAACATCAAATATTAAGTTATTTCAAATTCAAATAAAGTTTTCTCCTGAACTTGGACAATCCAAACAGAGATCCATAAATTATCTGAAATGTCCACTTCTCTGTGCCAAATAGTCATATATTTTTATTAAAACCATGCTATTCTACTCTACCTACTGCACAGGGAGATTCCACTCTATAGACTTTTTCTGTACTTTAAATATTCAGCTTTTGGTAATAACCCAATCAAAAGTTCTCAAAATAAGAATTAAATAAGTTGAAAATAAAATAGCAATCCATTTACACAACATCAATATTGTCCAAATAGATCAAAACAAAAGAATAAAAAACTAGTAATATAATATTACTATCTATGCTGAGATAATTTCAAAGATGACAGATCATCATTCTGATAGTTTTCATATATGTCTATATTTCTGAAAAATAAATATAAGACAAAAGTAAATGTTAAGATCAACATATCAAGCTATTGCTACATGATCTTCTACAAATGACATTCTTGGCTTAAATACAATATGAAATAGAGGTATTGTGACCAAGGTAGTTGAATATCTTAATTATATATCTGTTTGATATATAACATCTTCAAATATATATCCTATATAATAAAGACATAATATGCAAATTGACCCTCACTCCATCATGCCATCACAAGATGGCTGTGCCAACAGCCAAGGCAGGGTTCCCGTAATGAGCTGTAATGAGCAATCAGCAGGGACCTGAGACTGTGTGGTGCCTGGCCAGGGCGGGGGACCTAAGACTGCTCCCCCTCCCCCCAGTGGGGCTTGACGGGGGACCTCAGACTGTGCCTCCCACTCTGGTGCCAGGCCGGGGGACCTCAGCCCAGGCCCCCGGCCAAGCACTGGGCTGGGGAACCTGAGGTTGTGCCCCTCACCTGGCAGGGATTGATGGGGGTGGGGCTGGCCAGGTCTGGATCTTGCCCAATGCGGGTGGGGCCAACCGGGTCTGGGGCTCGTACAATTTTGAGGAGCATGCGGGTGGGCAGGGACTTGACTCTGGGTCCCACAGTGTGCCCCAGACTCTGACAGGAGGGAGGATTTTCATATACATTTTACTAATTTTCTTTCATCTCTGACACTTCCTATTATAGAGAAAGGGCAAATAACAATATTAAAATATTTCCTATAATTAATTCCCTTTTAATGTGCATGGATTTCATGCACTGGGCCACTAGTGTGTGTGTGTGATATATATATATATATATATATATATATATATATATATATATATTAACAAATGTGTAATTTAGAAATAACTCATTGTTTCTTACTGACAAACCAATGAGTATAATAACATACCTTTCTGTTTTTCACTCATTAAGAACATTTCATTGACATTTATTTTTAAAGAAAAAAAATCATTTATATCCATAAATGTATGTCACTTCAAAATAAGAAATTGAAGGACCCATGAAAAAAAATTCATCTTTCTACCTTTAGAGTTTTCAGATTTTATAAAAATTAATCAATTTCTTAAAAGTAGACATAAACAAAAAACACCACATGCTGAGTTGAGACAGATTTCTAGTTTATTCAATTATTGTGATAAATTAACAGTTCCTTTTAAAGGTTGAGGAAAAATAATTTTCTAATTTTAAAACAAAGTTTAAAATCACATTAACTTCATTTTGAAGTAAATGGGTGCTTAGTATTGTCAGTTTATTCTGCAAACACATTGAATATTTCTGGAAAAAAGAACACTATTAGAACCCAGAAACACACTTTGTGTGGCTTTCAATAAAAATAATTATAATAGAGATTTACTAAACTATTTGCTCTCACTAATATTTAGTGACCAAATCTAACACTCCAGGCTTTACTCTCTGTTTCCGTAATTGCCTCAAGTTCTACAGTGTTCTTGGTGTGTTGTTATTATCTTATTTTCTTAATTAAAAGCAGTGCTTTAGGGGAATACTCCAAAGGCTCATAGTGAGCATCTATTGCTTTCTGTTTGGTCTAGCATGTTATACTTTCATGAACTTACTTTCTTTCAAGGGGGTAGCAACAGCCAATCAGTTGGTTCTGATTTTCATCTTCATAAAGGTGAACACAAAACTAATTGCTGGCTACTCAAAGAACACAGTCCCCTTTAAAATTGTGATGAATGTAGAAAAGATGCATGACCTAAACTGGCCAAGGTGGGGTGGGAAATATATATATATAAGAGAGAGAGAGAGAGAGACTTTTTCTCATTCCGACACTGGGAGAGTCAATAGTCATGTAGGTTAAAAAAGATTTGGAACTATTCAAATCTATTCCTGCATATACTGTGGTCAAAGAGCATCTAAGAACAAAGCTAAGTTAGAAAAAAGTGAAGCCAAAAGTTGATGAGAAAGAGACATAATGATGATGATATTATTCGAACACTTTCAATCAATAATGTCTAAAGCCAGCTTCACTCTAGGTTTTACAGAAATTACATCCATAAATCCTTTCCTATGTTGTTGCTGTGACCTAGGGAAGGCTGTCCCAAATATTCCACAATGGTACATTAATTAATTTGAATTAAAGTTACTTGACAAGCAGCTTGTATAAGGAGGGCAAGTTGATCCTCCATTGCCTTCTTGAATGCAGGAAATTAATCTCCCCTGTAGAATGTGGTCTCCTTGCTGCAAGGGGACTAAGAGAGACATCCTTATCACTGCAATTACGAAATCCAGGGATGAAAAGTTTCCATTAAGACAACAACAACAAAACCTTGTTACTGTTTTACTTATTTACTACTCAAGCACAAATTTTGTTTAGATTCCTTACTAATGAGAACCCAAGCCTTTGTCTTTGTCCTGTCAATTATTCACATATTTATTTTTTCTTTGTCAAAAAAGTATAAAAAGGTAGCTGGTTCATCATTTATTTATTGAAGCATCATTTATGATCTTTCATGTGCACATGTTAAATTGTTTTCTCTCCTGTTAATCTGGTCTTATGTCAATTTTATTATTAGTCCTGTTAGTGGTGAAATGGCACCAGAATGTTATCAGCAATTGGACTTTGATTGAGCAATTTTGGTACTTGAGTTCAGGCTAAGAAATAATTCAGAGCCAAGACTCAAATACAACCAAAAGTTTATTTAGAAAGTCACAGAGGTAGAAGAAGTGAGCTATGGGAGAAGTGAGCCAGCTGGGCTGTGTGGGCTTAGGAAACAAGTTAAGAGAGGCTAAAGAAGGGCTCTTGGAGTTAAAAGAAAAAAAGAAAGGCAAGG